GGATTGAGTTGGTCACTTGTTAGCTGAGGACCCCTTATAGACTTTGCCTTGTGAAGAAGGTTCGGATACTCATGGCATTGGTACGTTCTATTGTCAGGACATTGTGGACATGTTCATGAGGTGAACACCCACTCCAGACGGGTATAGCTGGGTTCGTGACGCACCATTTCCGCAAGGGTCGCTTGCTTCCCGTGGTTCTCTTCGGTCCGCGCTCTGGGGGGAGAAATGGGTTCGAGTACACAGCTGAAGGCGAACGCGCCAGTTCTCACGTCTCAAAGCAGCTCTGGCATGCAACCCTGGGGTCTTCCGCTGGTTTTCTTCTGGGTGTGCCGAATTTCTGTGAACGCTTTGAGAACATCTTACACTCCCGATTTCACAGCCAGAAGCTCCCCCAATTCCCTGATGGAGCCAAGTTTGGGGGAGAAAGGTTCCAATTTCATAGGTGTCTTTTTTGGTTGTTTTGGTCGAAAAATAGATGGCCCTGGTTTACCTGGTGGTTTAATCATCTACCAGGGAAACCCATCTATTTGCCCCAAAAGGACACCTATGGTTCCAATGGCATCGCCTGGCTCCGCGCCCTTGGCTCCCAAAAGCTCCGCTCCGAGCGGTGGCGATAGGCGCGGAGTGCCGCCAGAAGTTCGACTCGGAGAAGGCGATCTGTGAAGAAATCGGGAAACCAACCGGACAACCTTTTTTTCCTTGATTCTTTTTTTGGGTTCCCCTAATTTTGGAATGTGGCTGGTTTCCCGGCAAAACCATCTAACCAAACCAGGAGATGTCGATTTTTTCCCCCCACCGGCCACTGGAGGTCTGGGCAGGTTGCCCGTTTTGAGAGTGTGTTCTTTCCCGGGCACCTTGTTTTCGGGGGTTCTCGATTTGAAGACAAATATCTTATCTTTCTCTCTCTCTCTCTACATATATATATATACATATTATACATACACATGCACTAAACCCATGGATGAAGGATTTCCATCCCCAAGTGACTTGCCCATTGTGAGCTGGACCCAGTCGTCTTTCCTTTGCTTCGTAGGCCAAGCAGCTGCACTGGAAGTTCATCCACGACCCCAATCGCCACCAGGAGGACGCTGGCCGAGATGGGCAGCAGACGGGCTGCGCTTGGGTTTGGCCCCATTTGACATCTAGAACGCAGTAGAGGGATAAGGGGACAGCTATATTTGTTGTTGGACACTTCAGATGAAGTTGTTGGTGTGACAAACTTTGGAGTTGCCTGTTGTTTTGCAGTCTTTAGTTTTAGCTCTCCCTCGTTGGCTCATGTTGTGGGAAGTGACAACTACCCAACGATTCGTTTTCAGCTGCATGCTGCAATCAGAGTCGCCCCTCGCATTGCTACCGGTGTTCCAGTTTATCACGAAAGCTAGCTTTAGCTAGCTGAAGTTTCTCCTTGCGTAAGCAAGGTAAGGGGCTCAAATGCCGAAAGATTGATTTTTTCAATTATTTGAGCCGAAAAGATTGAAAAACATCAATCATTTAGACCCCCCCCCCCTCCCCCCCCCCCCGGTCTCAGGCTCGATTCCTCCCTGGTCCATCCCCCAGGCAGTGGCTCAGTGTTCAGCAGTCTCGGTTTGCCCGTTTTGGACTTGGTGCTACGAACTTTTACATGTTCCACCGATTCAGCTTGTTCATTTGAGACCTCAGTCTTCTCGGTAAACCACCTCGCAAGAATCTTTGCACACGCAGCATGCAGAACCCAGAGGTGCTTTAAGACAGCTTCTGACGCCTCTCGTTGTTCATCTTTCAAGGTTTGCCACGCCACCATGTGCGTTTGCGTGTCGCATCCTTCGAATCTTGCCGGGCCTCTCGTTGTACACAAGCTACCTATGAATCCACTCTGTCACCGACCCATCTCATGCAACAACTGCTAGCCTTCGTTCACCCGCTCCTCAAGTTGCTTGGCGGGCAGGGGGAATGCCGAAATTGTCAGCCCGAGGCACCACACTATTGCGCCCCTTACAGGGAACATTGGAGAGGTTCTCCAAAACAACAAAAATGGGGGGGGCCCTTTGTGCCAGGGTTTTGCGAGCTTTCCAGGCCTTTCCCTGGTCTTTTTTGTTTTTTTTTGGGTTTTTCGCAATTTAGATTAAGTTTGAGGATGTCACTTTGATGGACCCGCTTGTTTCTTCCTTCCCGATGTTTGTGAAACAATCAGCCAGAGACTGTCCAAGTCACCGCAACAAGGACTGATTTGCGTGCAGGAGCCCCAGCTATTTCTCCGCTCGGATTGACACCTCAGATCCATGGTGTACCCTTGAGAAGAGGGTGTGCCTTTTTTGGAGTTGGCACCCCCTTATTGTGGTTTTGAATGAGGACCAAAACGAAAACCAGCATTGTTTTGTCCTTACAAAATTATAAGACACACCCCAAGAAGTCCCGAATAGCAACTCTGGGAATGCCACACTTGATCACCAAGTAGACGGTCTGGCTTTTAGATGAGCAAGGGGATGGCCGCTTTACGTCAGTAAAGCAACAACCTGGTGGTTTCCGGCCGGCCAAGAAAAGAAAGTCTGGGCGCCTCATCTTGCCATTTGCATGTTCCGAGTTTGTGGCTAGTCCAAAGATTGGAGTTTGCAAACATCGGTCAGAGAATCGAACAGCTGCTTCTGCCTGTTTGACGGCAGGGTTACTGCGGAGACCCCCAGATTGAACAAGTCGAATTGCGCGGCAGAGGCTCAACTGATCGCACAGGCGCACTAGCATTGCAATTTTCATGTGGCATTGTGGTCGGTTGATTCATTCTCAGCATATTGTGACATGCACAATTGCATCAGCACAGGTTTATGTGCATGTTGCGTAATGCAATGACATGAAGTGCAATGCTGCGCACACATGCATGCTCATGTGCACATGCCTATCTATGTGCCTGCGCATGCACATGTACATGTATACAACATCGGCTTGAGCACGGAAAAAAATCGTCGCTGAGGCGGATTGCAGACTGAGCCTTGCACAGCGCCATGGGCCATTGATGCTGGCAACGCCTCCATTAGGAGGCTGCTGCCGGCTCTGGTTCTCAGAGGGACTATTGTGCAGAAGAGCACCCGTGTGGGAGGGGTACTAGCATCATCCGGTTTCCTTTTCTTTTTTGGCAGGTGTAGAGTCGATTTGCTTTCGGCACATTTTCAACGGTCCCGAGAGAAGCCGCTCTTGATCTGTGGCAGCCATGCGAAGAAGGCAAAAGTGCGTGGCCGCCCGGTTTGCCGTTCCGAGCTTTCGGGCGATTCGCAAGTAGAGCGACTCGGTTTGCCCAGGAATTGCCTAGCTGGACAGACTTGCAGGAGGCATTCTCTGGGGTTTTATTTGGTGCTGGGTCACCGAAGTGATTCGGATTCCCACGAGAAAGGAGTTGGGCTAACCCCAATCAAAATCAAATAGAGGTTCTACTTGGATACGGGCTTGGATACGGGCCGCAGGCCGGTCCCTGGCCTAGGTTGGTGTAAGGGGCAGGATACGGGTGGCGCGTGTTTCTTTTGGATGACCCAATAAATTGGCCTTTTGGTTTCCCTTTAAAACCGCAAAAAACAAGGGTGCCAAGCCTCAAACAAAGACACACCCATACTGCTTGCCGGGGTGCCCCAAGCAAACCAGGCCAAGCCTCGCCCCGCCCCGATCCAACGGAACTGTTTTGCGTTTCACCGAGTCGTGTCAATTTTTGGTGGGTCTAAACAGGAAGCCACGAGGGAAGCCTTTCCAAGCATCGACTTGGCAGCCATTGTGCCCATACGGAAAGCGCCGCGTCAGCGTCTGCGTTTTTGCCTGAAGGCCGGGCAGCCTTGGGAGGGGGGGCGAGGTCAGCCATGCGCAAAGCATTGCGCACTCCCCGGACCGGTCACAGTCCTAAATCATATTATTATTATCATTATCATTATTTATTATTATTATTATTATTATTATTATTATTATTATTATTTCTATTATCATTATTTTCGACGCCCTCCGGGTTTCGCAGTTTTCGAAGGAAGCCACCAAGTCCTGGATTTGTGGCAAGGTCCTTTGCGCCATGCCGGAGACCATGGAGATCAGCGATGCCGCCAAGTCCGGTGATGGCAGCACCCAGAACGCCGGAATCCCAGCGAGATGCGAAGAGACTCGCGAGCCAATGTTCAGATTTTCCGCCGCAAAGGGCAAGGTGGGGAAGAACCAATGCGTGGAATGAGCCAACTTCTCCTGCCTAGGAACCGCCTTTGGTCAAGGCAGATGCCCAAGGCAGCTTGAGATGAAATGCACATCTCAGCGCAAAGCGCAAGGAACACGAGATGGGGCTACTTTGGCAGGTCCAATGAAGCACCTGCCAAATGCAGGAGTGTAGGGCGAGAGGGAGGCGAATCCAGAACCTTCAAGCACTTAGCCACGTTTAGAAAATAATAAATCTGATAATATATATATATATATATACACATTGCAGAATATGATCATCTTGAAACTGTAACATTATCAGCACTGCATGATTATAGTCATCATCCACTTCAATACCACAGTATGGTGGTGAGGCAGGGGCTTTCTTGCATTCTAGCTGAGGTGGGCATCAAGGTGGATGCCAAGTTCCAGTGTGCGTGCCCCAGTCAGACACTGCGAACTTGCAGCTATGCAAGTTAGACGGAGTACCACGCTCCAAGTCCTTCCTTTTGCCTCTTTGTCCACTACAATTCTTCAATGAGTATTTCCGGGCTGCAGAATCTTGATTTTCTTTTTTAGCTGTTACGTTGACCACCTGCCTACCTTCTCGCTGGCCTGCTGCTCATGGCAGACAGCCGCGGCACACAAATCGTCATGTCGAGCGTTGATCTTTCTGCCGCGGGTTTGTTTGCCTGAGTTCCTTCGCTGGCAATCTTGAGACCGGATTTTTCCGTTTTTTTGTTTTTTCTTTTGCTTTTGCTTTTTTTGGCCTCCCGATCCGGCAGGCGCCGAGTGCCGCCAGAAGTTCGATTCTGAGAAGGCGCCGAAAGGGCCGAGGCGGAAGCGAGCGGAGAGAGCTCCCGTAGGCCAAGCAGCTGCACTGGAAGTTCATCCACGACCCCAACCGCCACCAGGAGGAGACCGCATGCTGTTTTTGTTTGTTTGTTTGGAAAGGCCGGGTGTGGACATGACTTTCCTCTTAGAACCTGCTTTCGGTGCTGCAAAGATTCGTTCCATGAGCAATAGCCATGGCTCCATGATATTTGATCTCACGTACTGCTGCACGTGCTTCATTTTTTTTTGCAGAGTCTGATGGATTGGCACTTGGCTAAAGCATCTGGCCAGCAGACGCTTTGCCACCCTTGCAGAACAATGCAGAAAGACTTACAGAGGGTATCCTGTGGAATAGAGAGGGTTGTAACCACGACAAAGAACATGTTACAACGACAAAGAACATCGTTACACCGACAAGTTTCAGTGAAGACTACCCCGACAAGGTAAGAATGTCAACAGAAAGGAATAAAGGAATGGCTAAAGCATCTGGCCAGCAGACGCTTTGCCACCCTTGCAGAACAATGCAGAAAGACTTACAGAGGGTATCCTGTGGAATAGAGAGGGTTGTAACCACGACAAAGAACATGTTACAACGACAAAGAACATCGTTACACCGACAAGTTTCAGTGAAGACTACCCCGACAAGGTAAGAATGTCAACAGAAAGGAATAAAGGAATGGCTAAAGCATCTGGCCAGCAGACGCTTTGCCACCCTTGCAGAACAATGCAGAAAGACTTACAGAGGGTATCCTGTGGAATAGAGAGGGTTGTAACCACGACAAAGAACATGTTACAACGACAAAGAACATCGTTACACCGACAAGTTTCAGTGAAGACTATCCCGACAAGGTAAGAATGTCAATAGAAAGGAATAAAGGAATGAGAAGGTCAATAGAAAGGAATAAGAAGGTCAATAGAAAGGAATAAGAAGGAATGAGAAGGTCAATAGAAAGGAATAAGAAGGCCAATAGAAAGAATAAGAAGGAATGAGAAGGTCAATGAATCACATTCCTTCTTATTCCTTTCTATTGACCTTCCCATTCCTTTCTATTGACCTTCTTATTCCTTCTTATTCCTTTCTATTGACCTTCTTATTCCTTTCTATTGACCTTCTTATTCCTTTCTACTGACCTTCTTATTCCTTTCTATTGACCTTCTCATTCCTTCTTATTCCTTTCTATTGACCTTCTCATTCCTTCTTATTCCTTTCTATTGACCTTCTCATTCCTTCTTATTCCTTGCTATTGACCTTCTTATTCCTTGCTATTGACCTTCGTATTCCTTTCTATTAACCTTGTCATTCCTTCTTATTCCTTTCTATTGACCTTCTCATTCCTTTCTATTGACCTTCTTATTCCTTCTTATTCCTTTCTATTGACCTTCTTATTCCTGCTTATTCTTTTCTATTGACCTTCTCATTCCTTCTCATTCCTTTCTATTGACCTTCTTATTCCTTTCTATTGACCTTCTTATTCCTTTCTATTGACCTCCTTGTCCCTTTCTATTGACCTTCTTATTCCTTCTTATTCCTTACTCCTTCCTATTGACCTTCTTATTCCTTCTTATTCCTTTCTATTGACCTTCTTATTCCTTATTATTCCTTTCTATTGACCTTCTTATTCCTGTCTATTGACCTTCTTATTCCTTTCTATTGACCTTCTTATTCCTTTCTATTGACCTTCTTATTCCTTTCTATTGACCTTCCTATTCCTTCTTTTTCCTTTCTATTGACCTTCTTATTCCTTGCGATTGACCTTCTTATTCCTTTCTATTAACCTTCTCATTCCTTCTCATTCCTTTCCATTGACCTTCTCATTCCTTCTTATTCCTTTCTATTGACCTTCTCATTCCTTCTTATTCCTTTCTATTGACCTTCTTATTCCTTCTGAATACTTTGTATTGACCTTATTATTCATTTCTATTTCCTTGCCTGTCGGGATAAGCCCGCAAGAAACATATCGCTGTACCGCTTTTTTTCTGCCGTGGTAACATTGCACCTTGTCATGGTGACAAAATCGCGTTTTTGTCTTGCTTACAACGCCCCCTCCCTGTAGAAAAGACAAATTCATCCGCTAGAGGACTGATCTGCATGCGGGAGCCTCGGAGATTTGAAGAGGTTGCTCTCTATCACCGCGGCTTGTATTACTTTTAGTTACGGCAGTTGGAATCTTGGAGTGTGAGCCACAACTAAGGAGAGCCGTGGTGGAGCCATGAAAATTGCTGCGTGAAAGCCCTGAAAGGGCTACCAACTTTCAGGGGGGAAAGAGCGAGCGTTTGGCGTTTGGTTTTCTGACATGTTCTGACTTGTGAATGCGGCATGCCAGAGGTTCAGCGGGCAGAAGTGCTAGAGCTGTCTTTTCCTGTTTTTGGAAGAGTTTTGTACCGGGACTTGTCCTAGCTCCACAGTAGAGAGATGGACATATCAAGCACAAACAGACTTCAATCAGTTTGCTGCAAGTACGACCCAGTCCACAAAGCAGGATGAGTTGTCCAAGTTATTTCATGCTTCAAAAAAAAGGAATGCGTGTGGGACGTGTGTATGCGCGGCATGTATGTGAGGCAGACGCACAGATCTGACTGACGGCTTGCACAACTGCAGCAAGCGCTCCGCGCTGAAACAAGCGATCCATTTATTTGCTCCTCATGATGCAGGGCGAGTTTGACAGATTAAACCAAGGTTACCACATTGGTTTGTCAGTTTTTGGAACCCTCTTCTGGTTGGCTTTACGGGGAAACCATCAAGAACCGCCATTTTTGGGGGATGCCTTTGCTTGACACCTGCAGATGGGGAGCAATGGGGTACCGGCGCGGATCAAGCCCCATAGGGCCCATGGCTTTTGCCGGCGGAGCCTCCGTTGGGAGACTTTCCCGGCTCCAGTTCTTGGCGAGATCACCATCTAATCCTCCCATGACCCTTGGGTTGAACTGTATCTAACAAGCTCTTGGTCGTGTTTGGAAGTTGTTGGCACAGCAAGGAGTGTCCAGGGAGAACTGGCTTCGATTTTTCGGAGTATCTTGCCCGCTTGCATCTTGTAAGCGGCGGCCAGCGCGTGAAAGCATGACAAAAAGTGCGTGAGGCGTATAATACCAGCTTGGAACCTTCATCCCTGTTGAGTATTTGGCAGAGGAACTTTTGTCTCTGAACAGATGCACGCATTTGTCCAAATTGCAACAGGATCTGGTTCGGACAGCCACGCCCCAGACATAAACTCAAGAATTCGTTTGGTTTTGATGTTCCCCAAGCGCACACATCCACACATCAGAAGAGGTTTTTTGAGAGTACCCTGTGTGTTGTTTTAAAAAGACAACACCATTGTAAAGAGACAAGGCACCATGTCCAAATTGCAGAGTATGCCTTCTTTCCATTTTCTGAATTCTGGCCGGCCAATTTCGAGGATTCATCTAATTGCCACAAGGCCGAAGCCAGGTCCCCCAGCTAGGTGCCCTTCTCTCCCCTTTTTGGTTGGGAGGGTTCTCCTACTAAAATGGACGACAGAAGAAAACTCGGGTACCCTTATTCCAACCTCTCTACTGGAGGACCTAGGAAGGGTCCTCGGTTTTGTTTCACGTAGAGGTAGCTGCTCCTGTTGCTGCTGCGCCTGGCTGGCAGTTGCGTTAGTTTTGCGGTTGGTGGTAGCGTAGTGTTGGTTCTGGTGGTGCTGAGTTATTATTATTATTATTACTATTATATTATTATTATTCTATTATTATTATTGTTCATTATCATTATTATTATTACAACTTTTTTATTTTTATTTTTATTTTTATCATTGTTATTCTATTATTATTATTATTGTTAATTATTATTATTGCTATTTTAATTATTATTGATTTTATTATTGATAGTATTATTAAAACATATATTTACTATTTTATAATTTTATTATTTTATTATTATTAGTATTGTTATTATTATTATTATTTAGTATTATAATTGCTATTTATTATCATTATTATTCTATTTTTATTTATTTATGTATTATTATTATTAGTTTATTATTATTGTTATTATTATTATTACTATTATTGTTATTATCATTATTATTATAATATATAAATAACAGCTGCTGTCAACACTGAGCAACAGTAACAGCATGCAGTGGTTAGCTTGTTCGATCGAGTTCTCAGTATTTTGCAACGTGTTGAGACCGATTCAGCAACGGAAGAGTCCGGCTGCAGCATCCTGCCGCCCAAAGCTTGCCCAGAGTAAACAGAGGGAACTTCATCAGGTGCGATTCTGTCCGCGCAAAGAGCTTTGGCAGCTCCAAGCTGGCTTGTTTTTGCTGTTCAGGCATCCACCGCAGTCAATTGACAAGAAGGGAACAGAGCGCATATAGAGGCAAATGCTTTGTCATGTTTGGCGAGCTCGCTTTGCTCAACTCGCTTTGCGTTTGGTTGGTTGTCGAGGGAAATCGAACGGACACCTCCAGTTTTGGGCCCCGTAATTTTGGGCCCCGAATGTATTCCGGCGGCTTGGTTTGCCATTTGTCGTGGCTGGATCAGACTGCTTGACGCTTGTGTTCGGACAAGCCACTGTGCTCTCGCGGGAAGCGTCCATTTGCGGGAGCGTTTTTGCCAGGCTGGATGCCCAGAGAGGGGACAAATCGCTGCTTTGTCAAGCTGCCAGATATCTCATTTCACCCGAACTCATGCTCAACGTGGTTCATTTGCAAAAGCGGACCTCATTGCTGCAATCACCTCACCCTTGAGAATCAACCCCGTCTGAAGTCCGCAAAAAGAATGGTGCAGATGTCCACCCACTGCCAGTGCGACCTGCGACCCTTTTCAGGGTGCACGAAAGCTGGGGCACATTAATCGGGAGTATCGGAATGCCCAAATCATGGTGGGTGCACAAAAGCCTTCCATGTGAACCACGCTCACCAAAGCGTCCCTCATTCCAACAAGTACTCGAATCACACCGGCAAAGACGCCGAGTTCCCCCATTGAGCTCTGCCTCCAGACTCCATGCAGATTTGGCGCATCGCATTCCAAGGTCCGAAATGCCGGAGACCATGGAGATCAGCGATGCCGCCAAGTCGGGCGATGGCAGCACCCAGAACGCCCGACGGCTCAGTCTGGAAGCCCTCCGCGAAATGGATTTCACTTCGTTTTCGCGGGTGCGCGGGGCATGGCAAACTTGGGATGGTCTGGAGAACGGAATTTTTGTGTGGGGCTTGCGTTGCTGGGAATTTGTGTTTGCAGAGGCTGTGAATCACTGCGCCGAGAGCTTTCCAGGTGGGCATCAAGGTGGACGCCAAATTCCAGTGCGCGCGCCCCAGGCGGAAGGTCTGGCAAATCTGATTTGTATGGAACGCACTGGCTGGGAATCGTGTCGGAAGCATCAGGCGCCACTTCTCTGCGTGCTTGCTTCTTCTGTCTTGCTTGACCGGCTTGCTTGGCTGGCAGCTTGCTGTTTCGCTCAACGCATTCCTCTTGGAAGGACGTGCTGTCGGGCATTCGGGCAAGTCAACATTTATGGCCAAAGCTGCAAGAATGTTACGTACTTACAAGGCCTGTGGCTCGTCTCTGCCCTGTGTTTGGTTCACTTTGCCGCCTGACATTGCAGCCTCGCAGCCTTACAGCGTTTGGGCCTTCAACTTGGGGGCCTGGGAGCAGACTTTCATTCTGCTGAGGAAGATATTGACACCGGACGTCAATGAGTCTTTGCGAGATCGTTTCAAGCGGATCCCTTTGACAGCAGCAGGGTCCAGACGATCAAATCCCTTAAGGTCCTCAGAGCTAAGTCTCGTCAACATGTTGCCCTCGCAGTTAGTATCCCGCCTAGATTCCTTTTTATTCAAGGACACAGGGCGCAGACTCTACGAAGTTGGACAAGGGCACCAAAGCCAACTGTTCCTCGATTCCGCGCCTTTGTCTTAAATCAACCCCAGACCTCCAAATTTCTTTTTCAGCTTCAGACGGCATGTTCGGTGTTTTCGCCGGGCACCATGGTTTGTTGGAGTTTCCTTTGTGTGATGCTTTAAGACTCTTAGACCCCTTGGCCGTTTGAGGGCATGTGATGGGACACGCTAGCGGACTCGTTTTTGTTGGTTGACACCGGCAAAGCTTCGGGCGTGTGACCCGACTCCGAGGCGCCGAGTGCCGGCAGAAGTTCGACTCTGAGAAGGTCCGCGGCGGCTTTGGGCGTGGCTCGTGTTCTCTCGTGTTGTTTTTTCTTGTTTTTGGTTGGGGGGGGGACAGGGGGGGTACCCTTTTTTTCACGGTTTGGAAGGGGCGGCAAAAGGAACCATGGCCCGTTTGGTAGGGTCTCGTATTTTGAGAAACACTATTTTGGGCATGGCCGAAAAGTAGGGTAACCCCAAGATGTGCTTCCCTGGTGAATGGAGACGAGTACAACCTGCGGCCCATATCCAGGTGGTTTCATTTTGACCCATACCCAAATGAGGGGCCCTAAAAATGGCCGAGCTTCCAAATGCGGCCACTGTAGCCACTTTACCAGTTGAAAGCCTTATGGCTCTCGCTCCCTCTACATATCGTAGCCCCTGACATACGGTTTCCTTTGGGCCAGTTTGGATTTAACTTGAAACATGGTTTCTTTTCCACCAGACCAAGCGAAAATCGCCATTTTCCAGAGGGCAACGGCCATTTTCGAGGGCAACCTTCCGGTGGAGGGTATAGGAACCCTGATGGCCCTTTGAATAAAGTGTGCTTTAAGAGGTAGTCAGCCCTTCTGTGGTCGGAGGATGTCTCAGGTTTCAAGTGTGCTTAAAGAGGCACTTGGCCACCGGAGACGAGGACGGAACTTTCCTTGGGGACATGAATTTGCCATTCAGTCAGCCAAATTATCCGTTGATTCTGTAACAGGAAAGCGAGTCAAGCGGCCACTCTGGTGGATTGGCCTGGTTCCGTATCAACTGATCGGAAGACGTGTGGCGCTCTGCCCAGAACTTGAAGAGATCAGCTTTGCTCAGATGGGACACACTTGCACATGTCTGCCCGCCTGCCCTGCCCTTGCACCTGCTACTGCCCTTGCACCTGCTGCTACCCCTGCCCTGCCCTGCCCTGCCCTGCCCTGCCCTGCCCTGCCCTGCCCTGCCCTGCCCTGCCCTGCCCTGCCCTGCCCTGCCCTGCCCTGCCCTGCCCTGCCCTTTGCTTGCTTGCTTGCTTGCTTGCTTTCTTGCAGTCAATCTCTTTACAGTTGTTTGTTTGCCCCTTCTTGACATTGCAACTCTTTGGAAAGGACGTTAATCTAAGACTCTTGAAACATATCTTGGCCTTTGGTCTTCAAGGGGGGGACTTGCCAGAAAGCTTCTCCGCGGAGGACGGCTTTTCTCTGAGCATTCCTTCACAGTCCTTCCCGGTCCTCCTTTGCCCCAGTGGAGGAACATTGAACATGTTTTGCAGGCCAAGCAGCTGCACTGGAAGTTCATCCATGACCCCAACCGCCACCAGGAGGACAGACGGTAACAAAGCAACAAACCGATTTTTCGTAAACCCACGCACGAGGGCCAAGAGGTGTTGTTTTAGCACCAATTTGTTGGTGGGCTTCGAAAGATACTGTCCGGCTTTCAGATACAAACGTGCATGAATGTATTTGTTCATTCATGCTGACGTTGATTTACGTGCATAGGTATTCTATAATATATATATATATATATATATATATCACAACACACACACACATGTATATGTGGGATAATACAT